TGAAGACAGTAGAGGACAATTGGAGATCTATCCTGTCCCAAGGAGCTGCATGGGGAAGGTGCTGCTTTCAGGTCTTCTGAGTTCACCTGCAAAGCCTCCAGAGGTTTTCTCTGAGCATTAGCTCTTGCTCACAATGTATTTTTAGAGCAATTACAAGCCAGCCCCCTAAAATCCCTCACCCCATCACACCAACCACCTCTGCTACCATGGCCCAGTCCACCATTTGACCTCCTGCTGCCCTCACAAACCGTGTCTAGCTTGGGGGACACATGGAGAAGTGCAGATGTCATGGTTGAAGTGTTTGCACCAGGCACCAGTAACTAAGAAGGTTCCAGCTGACATTAACCAAAGTATAATGCTTTTTCAGAAAGGTCACTTTGCAATAACACAGTGCATGAGCATGCAATGATGGTGGCACCTGACTTGAAATGCAGGATGGGTCACTGCTGCTCTGCCTGATGCCGGTCAGATGCCCCAACCTACCTGTCCTTGTGCAGGCGCAGCTCCCTTTAACTGCACGATTCTTCAAGACGGTTGTGTCTGCGGCAGACACAGGCTCCGTTCCAAAGATGACCTCTACAGTAGCAATCAAGATAGTTGCTCAAGCCCTTTTTCTGCCATAGATCAGATCCTACATGCTGACATTTTGTTAACTTGTTGGATCCAAGAACATTTTGTTTTTACAGCTGGTTTCTTTATATAATGTTATTATCTATATATAATTTATTGTTTTCATATGACAGATGAAGTAAAAGCCATGAGAAACCAGATTCATTACTTCCTGCCCCACATTTGCATTCCACTCTCTTTCTAGACAGAAATCCAGTCCAGCCCACTGGCACCCCAGGGCCAGCACTTCCAGCCCCTGGGCAGGCAGGCATGAACCAGCCCACTTGCAGCCCCACTGCCTCCCTCCATGTCCTCACAGCTGTTCTGCCAACGGCAGCACAGACCTAAGAAACCTTCTTTCACATGCAAAAGAAGGAATTTAAGGGAGAAAAAAATGAAGAGAAGATACCGTATACGCACCATCAAGAAAACATTGTAGCCCCTCTCTTCTGACCTGTACTGCTCTTGCTGGCTGGACAACACAGCTCCCATATCGCTGCTGTGGCCATCTAGACTCACCCCAAGAGGCCCTGGTTTCACGATCACCTGGTCACGCAACCCAGCAAGTCAGCAATTAACAGTCCCTTGGGGATTCAGGATCATTGTGCCACTGGGCTTCCCATGCCAATGTCACTCCCATCATCTCTGAGCCCAATGCGTGGCTATTCACAGTAAATATTGTACAATGTCAGGGTACCTTACAGCAGAGCAGGAAAACTCATCATAGTATTTATCATGCTTCACCTTTTACCCATCTGGTATGTTTTCCTTGCAAATATTAAGGTTGAATAGCAGGCAGGTTAAGGTAACCTGACAACTGTGATGTTGATAGGAATGGCCTTAGTATTTGATATTTGCCACGTGGTCAGGACTGTGCTTGTCGCTAGCTACAGCAGAGAGCCTGAAACACCCCTGTGGAGCACCTTGTGTCAGCGGGCGTACGCGAGGGCACAGTCTCTCTTGGTGAGATGCTCTCTAACCAGGTAGGACACCCCTTCTCTGACAGTACCCAAAATAAGCAGGTGTGGAGTACAAGCCTCCTCTGCTGCATGGTGGTGAAGCCGGCAGCGGCCCAGAGACAGACCTTGCTCTGCCGCAGTGCCCTTGGGCAGGAGAGCAAAGGCAGCTGTTGACTGATGGCCAGGGTAGCATTAGGCAGACTAGAAACGGCAATAAAAATCCATTAAGGCATTTAGATATGAAATATTGCAGAATCCCAAAAGGCATGAATCAAACCTGAATAAGATAGATTTCTGAAACGCCAGTTGTATAGCCTTTCCTGCTGGCTTGGACACAGCCTCCAGCTTATTGTCATGTCAGGCCTGATTTGTTCAAGTTATAAGCACTTAACTTTGAGCAGATTCTCCCTCTCTATCAGGGACTGTTACTCCCAACCCTCCTCCTCTCACTGCACCCTCAATACAGTGACTTTTCCTTGTCTTGGCCAGGCCAGTCTTAGTGTTCTAAATCACCAGTTGTTCCAAAACCACCAGTTTCGGCAGTCAAGAATTTGTCCAGAGAAAATCTAACACATTATTTGCTGTAAAAAACACAAGCGTTTTCATGGAGAAGTATGCTGAGTTTCCCTCAGTTGTTTCAGTCTGGTTATTTCCATAGCAAAAAAAGAGTTTGCTTCTTCATGGAGGAAGAAAATGGGTTTTGTCTTCTGGAATTTTGCAGGCTGACTAAACACTGACTGCGTGTGTGCGTGCGCGTGTGCGTGCACGTATCTTGCATGTTGACTGAGAGCTTTTCCCAGGGGTGCGAAGTTTCACATGCAATTATAACTCTATAAACAATGTGTCAGAGAGGAAGCACCAGGTGGGGATATTAACCCCCTTCATCATTTGTCACAGCAGCTTGTTTCAGGCTTGAAAGCAGCAGTGAAGGCTGTCCCACACCCCCCCTCACACTGGGACTGGAGTCTGGCATCATTCCAGAAGAAATGACGTTTTCAGGGGTTTGGTTTGGTGATCAAGCTGACACGGTACCGTGAATCCCTTGTTGCCTGGGCTTGGCCTCGACAGAGACAGCAGCACTTGACCCCACCAGGTCAAACCAGCAATAACCTCCCCCAAGTTCTTATGGGGGTTGCTGCTGCTTGTCACTTCACTCCTGAAAAATCACAATGTAGAGGCTGGAAGGGGTTGGCTAACTCCTGTCCCTTAGAAATGAAATGGAGAGTGGGAGGAGTACATTTTTACAAGGCAGAGGTGTTACAGCCCTGCAGGCATATTTCAGCAGCCTAACACTGTCGAGACACTACGACTAATAGGCCAGCACTTCCCAGGAGCTTGCAGGAGTCACTGTGTGCTGAAGACAGATTTGTTCTTTTGGCGTATTACACAGAAAAGTGCTTGGCCTTTTCCGAATGCTATACATATATATATATATATATATATATAGTTTTTTTCTAGAGAAAGGCTACAGAAGAATGTAAGAGGACAAAAATTCCTGTGTATCTAGAAAGGCTTTCTTGCAGGGGTGTTCCTGGATGGCTCAGTAACACCAACAGTGAACGTGTGGCTTTAGTGCTCTATTGTGTGTCTCCAGAAGGCCAATACAACCTTCGTAGCTACCATTGCTCGTGAAACTTAGATCAAAGCTAGATGGAGCATGCCTCCGTCATGCATCACATCACCTCCATCACATGCCACATCACCTCCATCACCCCATCACATCACCCCATCATATGTCACGTCACCCCCATCACGTTTTATGTCACTCCCCATCACGCGTCACATGGCCCATAACAGCCAGACCCCCTGCCAAGAGGGGTGGAGGGACCTGAGCTCTGGGCAATCACTCCACACTGCCCTGCCGGGGTCTCCGGTGGAGCTAGGATGCCCATGCCAAGCTTTGACTGACACGCAGATAGGACCAGGCTCATGGTGCTTGGGGCTTGGCTACACAGCCTCACACCTAACTGCTCCTGAATCACCCCACAAAAAGCACTCCACAGTCCTGGGAAGCGCCTATGGCGTGAAATCACAGCTGAGCTCGGCCACACGCAGCCCCCTACCGAAACCCTGGAGAGGGTAGTGCAAGTCCTCCTCTGATGTGTCTGCAGCATGCCAGCATAGGCCAGGCATATGGGTGGCCACCCTCTGCCACCCATGCCATCTTGGCAGAAAGCTGGGGGAAGGAGGCCAGAGAGGGCTGAAGTTCTGGAGGTGTTCCAGACGGAGGCGGCTGCAGTGAGCTGGGTGCAGTGCTGGTGGGCAGCAAGAGCAGCACAAGCTGGGGATGGGCATGGCATGAGCTGGGAGCCCTCAGCACCCTCAGAGCAGTGGGCAAGCCAGGCCTGCACCAAGCTCCACAAAGGAAGAGCCAGGACAACCCCGCTGGCACCACAGTCCATTACATCACTGTCACAGTGCTGGAGGAGGCGATTTTAAATCCTCTCTTTTCTCCCTGTTGGGCTATGCGTTTTCGGCATGGACACCCTTGCCACGGGGGCTGCAGCAAGGGACCATGACCTGCATCCCTCACGAGAGCCAGTGCGTGGCTCCTGGAGCAGCATCGTGAGCTGTGTGCTGCCCTGGTCAGATACACCTCAAATCCAATTAGAGTGTAAACATATCACTGCTTGTCAGCCTGCTGGATGAGCAGATCCTAGACTTCACAAAGCAAGGAATGGGTGTTAATTGTTGTAAAACATTTGTACCAGGAATATAAATAGAGCAGGGTAAGTCTGTGGCCAGTAATTGTGGCAGATCCTTACAGACAAAGTAGGTTTCCTTCAGAACCCTTGGCTCTCCCTGCAAGCCTCTCAAGGTGGGTAAGACCTTGCAAACTTTCAGCCATGCAGGCACTCTCAGAAGTGTCCTGATTTCTCTCACAACATGAGATGGCTTCTAGCCATCAAGGCATTGACATGTTTTGACTTTGTTTTAGATTAATTCATTGCAGTATCTCCAAAAAAATGTAAACAAGGAAGCCACAAGCCCCTGGGGAGCAAGGCACGACTGACTGGCACCTATCTATACCTGACAGTTCTTCTGCCACTGAATACGCAAGTGAAACAATGGGGAAAATCAAGACAGGGCCCCTCCAGAGCAATGGCCACTTACAGTGCCCGAAGGCCTGCTTGTGGTTGTGGGAAGATCCAGGATCAGAGCCAACTGCGTGATAGCCAGTAAGTTCAACATTAACCTACAGACCTGAAGAAAAAGCATCCACCTCATTGCTAAGGGGTGACCAAATGAAATAACTTTTGTGTAGTTCAAAGCACATGCACGCAGGCAAGAAAAGGGGAGAAACAGCCAAATTCTGTAGTTACTCACGTCCGCCAGCCCCATCCTGCCTCTCCTGCCGAAGAGCTAGCTGCCAGGTTACACCACGGCGCACGCTCAGAGTGGTCAGGCATCGTCTGCAATAGCCAGGCACCCTCAGGTCTGCTTCAGGCCACGAATTTTTCCGGTGCAGGCTTTCAAAGCAACAGAGCCGGTGCCATTACATGGCCTGGCAGCTATTTCTGCATGTTTGCATCCAGCCTTGTTTCCGTTGCTGCTTTTTCTCGCTCCATTGACTCCAGGTCCTACGGAGCAGAGAACGCAGTGATGAGGTATGGAGCTTGTCCAACATGCAGCGCGAGCTCCTCTGCTTTGGCTGCAGTGGAGCGGGACGGACCACCGTCGGCCGCTGGTGGGGGGCCCCTTGCAGCAGGGGCTCGACCCGTTCCCACCTACGGCGGCGGAGCGCTTGTTCGCCCAGTGCCCGGCAGGGTGTCAGCCCGTGCTGACCGCCCCTGCAGCACCTCGTTTCCAGCGCGGCCGTGCCAGGGCTCCTTTTACTTCAGTGTCGCCCAGTTTGCACTGCACTTCTAGAGCCATTAGAAAAGCACATTGCGTGCTTTTGCTGTCCAGGACTAAAAATTCTGCAAGCTGCTCTCCCCTCCCCTAGTATTTTGTAGATATATATGTATATCTATATATATAGATATACATATATATTTGAGGGATTACAGTCTTCCCTTATTTGAGGAACCTGCTCCAGCACAAGTGTTCCCACTTACAGCAATGAGTTACTCTGCCAGTTTTGCAGTTTCACTCCAAGCTCTCAACGGGACTGAAACATATTTTAGCCAAAAAGCGATGATGACACCAGAGTGGCTTTGACCTCACGTAATCACTCTGGAAAGTATGAGTTTGGAAATTGTACATTTCTTAGATGGTAATATTAAGGGAGACCAAACAATTTTATGAGGATGTGGACCTCCGCTTTTCCTCATTGTCACAAGGGAAGAGCCTTGGATCTGCATCAAGCACGGGAACGTTGTCCCTGGCCCCCGGCCTGGCAGAGTGGAGCGACAACCCCATGAAGAGCTGCCTGCACCTCCTGATAGAAGTCAACACATTTTAAAGTTGTTTTTTAAAGGAGAATGCAAATTATTTTACTATTGTTATGTTACATTTATTATTCTACTATCGTACAGAAAAAAAAAAACACAGCTAAGCCATCCAAAAGGCTTGTGACGGTAACGATGCTTTAAACAGCTATGACAAGCCTATAGAGAGCGATTTGGAAGAATTACTATTGCATTCACTCTTTAAGAGCAGAAAGTCAAATCTGCGTGGCGCAGATGCCCACGGCAATGCCGCGCGCGCCGCCCAGCGCCGTGCGAGCCTC